GATCTCTGGACTAAAGCAATACGTCCAAGGAATCTTGAGACGGTCAACCACTCCAGGACCAGACCGTACTGTCAGACCTTGCAATCCGAGTTTAGATGTTCGGAAATCATTGATAACACGTCCAAGTCTAAAGGGAATCTGAGTACGAGAATGAAAGAAAGGGAGAGTGGCTTTACCCCTGCCATGTCATCATTTCAGCCAATCCATAAGTCAAAAAGTTGGTGAGACCAGGTTCCGCATTTGACTGGGAAATATTGACGAGTGGGTGAGGGAAGGCGACTGTAGGACTCCATGGCATAGCTATTCCCAATTAGTCCAGAGCTCCTCCCATACAAAGAATGCTTACTAAAAGATAATTGAAGTGGGATACCCAGCGCTTCGGCACAATGAACGTGCGCAAAAGCAGGTGGATTCGAAATGATCGCATCGGCGATGAAGGGTACCTGATCCGTGTCCGGTTGAAAGCACGCATTCCAACATCCTTCTAAGATCTGCCCCAGCATCTTTTGCTTTTTTCGAATGTCGCCGTTGGTTAATGACGCCCAACCGGGCATGAGACCGGGGTCTGCCCGACTCTATCAGCAAGGTCTCTCTGGAGGTGTAGGCGACCTACTTTTGACCATGTAGCTCATCAAATCGTGAGGATCACCTCCAATGTCGTAAAACTCGAGGCCAGTATCTTTAACGAACTGTCGAAATGTGCCATGGGTCGCAATCCGCACTCGGTGACCATGTCGGTGAAGGTCCAATCCGAGCGCTAAGAACGGCTGTACATCCCCTACCGCCCAAGTATTAGCCATGTATACACATGTCATCTCGTAACGTCGTACCTCTACTTCCAACGATCATGATGACGATGCTGAGCTTGGGGACCCGCCCACCCTTGCGAGGTCCATGGACTGGAGCGGCCAGACTGGGGTCGACGGCAAACTCTCTGACGGGGTTGGCGTATCCTATGGGTAGATCTGGGAGCGCTTTGTTGAGGTGCATGGTGACACTGATGCGTCCGTCCCGAGAGAGGCTCGCCTTGGACTTGAGTCCTCGTCCGGACGAGACATACGAAGCAGGGTCTAATCATGGCTTAGTATATATCGTAGATTACATCTTGCACTAGCGTACCAGACTGGTTTTGTGTCTTGAGATCCGAGAGTTCATCGCGTTCTTCCTCATACTCGCGATAGTATGGAGGAGGAGGGTCAGCGTAGTCACCTTTACCCATGAGAGAGAAAGAAGAAAAGATTTGTCAGTCAAGGATAAGTCGAGTAGAATGATTATAATACGTACGATCTTTGATAAACATCACGAGGTCTTGGTCAGAAAAGGGCTAGTCGCAGCCAAGTTGTTTATATTATATATTTGTGTAAATAAGTTTTTCCATTTCGAGTGTTGTCTCCTGCGGAGTCGAGCGTGGCATAGCGTGGTGTGTAATAACAACCGCAGTTGTTGACTGCCCGCTTCAATCGGTCCGCAGGCCAGTCGACATTCAGCCCATCTCGCTTCGTCCGATCACAACGGGCCTAGGAACGATAATGGAAATTGGCGCAGGCGATGGTGGTCGAGGACAAGGTGCACTAGCATTCGACAACAAACTAAAAGTTCAAGGGTATCAAGAAAATTACAGTTATCACTACTATGCCACTTGTTTATTTTCCTTCAATGTGTATACCTTCACCCTCTCGCCATTGAGCAGCTGCTTGCAACAATCCTCGTTCATATGCACGCTGCTCGGCCAACGAAGCCTCCATCGCACTCCGTAGCTCCCTTTCGAATTGTTCGTCAATCAGTTCGGTTTCCCTCCCCTGATGGCCCGGCTCCGAACTACCTTCGCCCTTACCCCCCGCAGCCCGCAAATCGTTCGGGTCGTTATTCGTTGCAGCGAGCGACGCAGCCTTGGCCGCTTCCAGCTGTCGCTGAAATTCGGCCTCTTCTGCTTCTCCCCATTCAGCAGGAGATGATACTTCTGCCGCATCAGGGGCCAATTTCGACAACGGGATTTCAAGCTTGGCTTCAGTGGGTCGGGGTGGTAGGGCAGGTGCCTGGTTCGGTGCCGCAGTCGTAGCGGTGGCACCACGTTCGACAGGGTTTGCAGCTGGGATGGTTTGCTTGCTATCGTCGACCGTCATTGTACCTGCTCCACCTTGAGCAATCGCTTCTTGGATCCTCTCCTCCATCGTCTTCCTTCGGTTCTTTTCGTTTTCCGCTAGACATGCCTTCTTGAACGCTTCAATCACCCTTTGGCGGTCGTCGAGGGACAGGTCTGACGATACAATAGCCTCTCGGCCTTGCTGAATCCGGATCTGATGTACTCTGTGTTCAGCTGCGCGCATTCCTCCCAGCTTTTTCATCGACATCCATGCTCCCGTCACAGGGTGAGCTATCGCTCCCACAATGCCTAAGGGGATAGATCAGCAAACTATCCACATCGATATGATTGTGCTAACCTGCTGCCGGTTTCACCGTAGCATTCACATCTATCATTCCATCAGACTCTGCAAACTTCCTCCTTTAGGACTACTCACAGCTTCTGCCTGCTCCCTTGATCAGTCCTATGAATCCCTGCAGAGCTCATTAGCCACAATTCATTCTCGCAAGAGCATCACGCACCTCTTTTTTGGCACCTTCAAACGGTTCGGTGACTAGTCCAGTAATCGCATCCGCATATCCATAGAACAACCCCTTGTGGAAACTCAGCTGCACACTCTTCTTCTACCTACTTCAACGCACCTTAGCCCCTTCACGGACCCCACTCTGGGCATCTTTTACTTTGCCAGGTTTTCTTACTTTGGATCCGTATACAGTAGGGAGGTTGTGGAATCCTTCTTGGATAGCACCCACAATCTCGACGACGCCTAAAGAACGTCAAAAATCATAGACAAATTTCCCAGAAACTCTTACCACTTGGAATCGCTGTTGTGGTATTGATAATACCCTTGACCGGCGAACTGGACAGATATATTCAGTCATAAAAATTGGTAACCTCTAGAGGCTTACTAGAATATCTGTCCTATACCACCATAATAGTGGGTGATTGTCCTGAAAATCTCAATCGACCCTCCCGAAAGGGGATCCTTGGACTTTGCCTTGCTCTCATACTCCTTGGCACCTGTAGATCTCGTCAGTGCCAGTACAATTTTAGGATGTACCGCTTACGATGAGGCTCAAGTTTGCTCATATCTATGAGTTTCTCTTCAGCCAAGACTTCGGCAGCGAAAGCACTGAGTCGTAGGCACTAGTCTCGGTGAGTAAATTGTGAAAGAGCTGCATAGATGTTCTTACATGTGGGGTGCTCCACCAGACTGCCAGTCTCTCGGGTAGCAAATCACATCTAAAACATTGATGAGTGTTAGCATGGACGAGGCCAAGAGACCCACCTCATGTTCAACAACGGAAGATGTCGATAAAACGATTTGACACCTTCTTTGGCTCCATCCTAAAGACCGTCAGTACTCCATCACCTATGTTTAAACGCCTCCCTTACATGGGCTCGGATTTTCTCTCCCAGCACTTCAGCTGCCTTCGTCGCTCCCTCCGTCTTACAAAACTCAATCGCCTTCTTCAACGTTTCCACATTCAACTTGTCCTTCTTAATCGGATGTGGTCCCGCTCCCGCTTTATGAATCATCGTACCCCAAAACGGTTGGTCTCCAAAGAACGGGACGACAATCGTCGGCTTGCCCAACCTCAGCCCAATCGCCGTAGTCCCCGCCCCTCCATGATGACATACAGCGAATACTTTGGTGAAGAGCCAGTCGTGGGGAACGTTGCCTAGGATGTGGACGTGCGAGGGGACGGTCACTCCGCCTAGCCCTCCCCACCCCGCTGAGACAAGTGCGCGGACTCCTGCTTGTGCCGTCGCCTCAAAGATGGCGTTTGTCATTTTGGCGGGGTCTTCAACGACTACAGAGCCAAAGCCGATATAGATAGGCGGTGGACCCGCTGCGAGGAAGTCGGCTAGCTCTTGAGGAGGTTTGTAGTTTTGTGCCAAATCAAGGAAATAAAAACCAACGACGTCTATCAAGAGTGTTTAGAAGTGCTGGTAGTAGAGAGCGGGAAGGCTCACCTATGTGGTTTTTCCAATCTAGTGGCTTGGGAACGAGAGAGGGGCTAAAGCAATAGGTCCATGGAACCTTTAAACGGTCGGCGATACCCGGACCGGAACGGATAGAAAGTGGATCAAGGCCCAGTGATTTTTGTCGGAACTTGTTGATTACGTCGCCCAATCTGTATAACGGTTATTAGGGTATGAATATAGACTATGCAAAAAGTACTCACCCTTTCCAAGTCATGATTTCTGCCAAAGCATAGCTCAGATAGTTTGTCAAACCGACTTCGGCATTCGATTCAGAAACATTGACAAGAGGATGAGGAAAGTCGACGGTTGGGCACCAGGGCATGGCTAAACACGAGTCAGTATAGTGATAAGTCACACAAGAAGCCGACGTACTGAATGTCATTTGTAATGGAACGCCCAAGGCTTCAGCGCAATGGACATGAGCGAACGCGGGCGGGTTGGAGATAATGGCGTCTGCCACAAATCCTTTGGGGTTGCTTGGGTCAGATTGGGTACAAGCTTCCCAACAGCCAACTAGTATCTCTGACAGCATCTTTCTCTTTCTCCCAATATCGCCGTTTGTGAGCGAGGCCAACCCTGGTATCAGTCCGGGATCTACCAACCATTAGCTGATAGAGAATGGGATTGGGGAATGGGACGTACTTCTGACCATATAACTCATCAATTCCTTAGGGTCTCCTCCTATATTGTAAAACTCCAAATCGTTCTCCGTAACGAATGAGCGGAATGTCTCGTGGGTGGCGATCCGTACACGATGACCTTCTTTCTTCAGTTGCTGACCAAGCGCAAGATACGGTTGTACGTCCCCTGTGTTCAATCATGAGACCGTAGGATAGTTCAGACACGTGCGATACATACCTCGACTACCGACAATCATAATCACAATGTTCATTACGGGAATCATTCCTCCCTCTCGAATCTCTGGAGGCTCTATAATTCCGGAGAGATGCTTTTCCAAGGCGGGATCTATGGCAAACTCCCTGACAGGATTTGCATAATCTTTAGGAAGATCTGGGAGAGCTTTCTTCAAGTCAAGCGAGACGAGAATCCTCCCATCGTCTGTAATCTTTGCAGATGACGCCAGTCCCCTTCCGGAGGTGGCATACGAAATGTAATCTGCCAAAGACGAGCAAGGTGAGGTTCGGTCAGCTAGTCAATAGATCAAAGGACGAACCTCGAAGTTTGGCTCTACTGAACTTCGCACTCTCAGGTTTCAATTCCTCAGGCAAGGGGCTCGTTTCTCGCGATAATTCAGGCCGCTCCACAGCCGTGTCCGAATCCGACTCTTCCATATAGTCCATAGAGCCCCTCCTCTTTTTCTGCTTCTCTGGACTCGTCTTGCTGGTCATTATGTTCTAAGATGATGGGAATGGGGGAAGCCAAGAGAGCTTTATCGGGCAGAATGGTCATCATCCAACCAAACGCCGACTATTGCATTCGAAGCCAAACATCGTCATAGGGCGAGCTCGGCATGAACGGTCTTCTCGAGCTGTACAATTGATTATATCGATGAAAATTATTCGTTAAATTTGATTTCATGGTCTTAAATTTTGAGTGATATTTGAAGGGGTTTTGGGCGGGGTTGAAGGTTAGCAGGAAGCAGCAGGGACGGATCATGCGTTCGTCGACCGCGCCTGACTTCTACCATCTCAACCCACCAAAAACAGTCTTGTTTCTCTGCTGTACTCTTAGACCTGTCTTCTCTGACTTTGTCACGTTTTATTGTTCCATCTATCCTATTCCTTCGGCGTAATTCTACGATGTCCTCACGTAAAGCAACGAAAAAGACCATAGTCAACGTAAAAACTGAAGACGAGGAAATTGAGGAGACAAAGACAAAAGTGTCAACTGACAGATTGCGTTCAAGACTCAGAAACTATGCATTTGCCAAGGACGAGGAGAAAGGCGACGAACCTGTCCAAGGTGTGTGTCTACTCATTTCACTGATCAATACCGACTCATGCATATAAAGTTGAAACATTCAAGGTCGAGACTGAAGAAGTAAAGGTAGTGAAGAAACGCAAACGTGCCCTCTCTCCGTCAGAACCTACTACCAAAGATTCAACACCGACTCCCAAGAAGCCAAAGGTCTACAAGATGGAACTCGACACTCCGCATCCGACACCGCCGAAGTGGGAAAATACCTACCGTGCCATTCAGGAAATGCGTAAAGGACGGCCAGCGGCGGTGGACACCATGGGCTGTCACCTACCACTGCTGGACAAACGCGTAGACCCAAAGGTACGTTTAAATACGACTTGCTCGGCGCAATCATACTGAGAACATTTATAATAGAAACGTCGCTTCATCACGCTCGTCGCTCTCATGTTGTCTGCACAGACCAAAGATGAAGTGACTTGGGCTGCAATACAAAAACTCCAGGCGGCATTTCGACCAGATGACGCCGTTGATGGCGAAGAATACCTTACTCTGGAAGCAGTCCGTGCCGCCCCTGTCGAGGTGATTGAAAACTGTATCAATAAAGTTGGGTTCTGGCGAAGGAAGGCACAATACATCAAGTCCGCCTCTGAAATCCTACACAAGGACTTTGAGGGTGATATACCTCGCTCCATTGAAGGTCTCTGCTCCTTGCCGGGAGTAGGCATGAAGATGGCCATGTTGGCTATGCAAAATGGATGGGGTGATAATGCTGGAATTGGTGTAGATGTACACGTACACCGAATCACAAACCGGCTCGGATGGCACAAAAAGGAGACCAAGACTCCGGAAGAAACGAGGTTGAACTTGGAGAGCTGGCTACCAAAAGAATATCATGGTCCTATCAATCCTCTCCTCGTCGGTTTCGGACAGACCATCTGTCTCCCTGTTAGACCAAAATGTGAAGAATGCCTTTTGGCGCAAAAGAAATTTGAGCTGGACATGGAAGACGGGACCACGAAGGAGGTTCAAGGGCCTTTATGCCCAAGTGCGTTTAAAGGTTCTGCAGGTACCAGAAAGGTCAAGAAGGAGTCTATCAAGACAGAAATGACATTAATAAAGATGGAAGATGGAGACGTAGTTGCAGAAGAGGAATCTGGAGAAGCAGCCATCAAAATCGAGATGGAGTCATGAATGTGATAACGCGGTAACGATCCAAACGATATACACGAGCCAAATGTTCATTTATTTGTATATAATTCTCAATGAAATGCATTTGTATTGCCTGTATGCGTTCTAGATAATCATCCTTTGCATCAAGGATTATCGATAAGCCATCCACCATCCACATGAAGAATAACTCCGTTCATGTACTTGTTAGTACAAAGGGCATATAACGCTGAAGCTATATCGTCCTGATCTCCGAGCTGTAATTTGTTAAATGAGATTGTTGAAGATTGATGGTCTAACATACCCGTTCACGAATATGTTTTATCTTCTTCCACTCATCTTCATCACCTTGGACAACAGTCATTTCGCTCGGGAAGTATCCTAAAAATAGGGAGGAGAGATATTAGCGATTGTATCACTATATTAGTTTCAAGTTTACCTGGCGCGAGACAATTGACCCGAACTCCGATATCTGGGTGTTTGAAGTCATTAGCAAGCATCCTGGTCAGGGAGTGTAACCCAGCCTTCGACACCTAACGTAACCGGAATCAGTAGAAAAGTCTAAAACGAGTTAGATCACATACATTATAGGCATATTGACCTGTTTGACTGAGAGCTGTCGTGCCAGAAATACTTCCAATAGTAACGATCGAGGCTCTTTCTTTGTGAGGGTTAGCCACCAAGAGAGGCATAAACGCGACAGAGCTGAAATATACAGCCGAGAGATTGATTCGTAAGAGCTCGTCCCAGTCTTCCATAGGTTGTTCGAACAGAGCCTTAGCATATTGTTCTGCATTCAGGTTTTCTTTAGGTTGCGGCGTCACCAAGGTCATCCGGGTTACAGCGGCATTCGCAATGAATCTGACCCATAGTGTCAATACTACCATCCAGGGTACTATGAAAATAGTATGGAGATCGCACAAGTCAATATATTTCTCCTAATCCCAGGATAAGCGTTATAGATTAGAAATTGATCAATTAAACTTACGCGCTTGGAAACCTCTGCCACGGCAGTTTTCAAGCTTTCCTTATCCGAATGATCCAGAGTGAGAGGAATGATCTCCCCAGGGCCGGTGTGTTCTGCGGCTATCTTGTCCAGGATCTGGCGACGACGGCTTGCAATGTCTAACAACGAGAGATCAGTAACGGATATGCGGCAGAATGCCTCATTGATGTGGATATGCGAAGACTCACAAACCCTTGCCCCGGAAGCAGCTAGGCTCTTTGCCATTTGTAAACCAAGGCCCGATCCACATCCTGAACCTCTATAAATCTACTATTGAGAACTAGACAACGCGCGAAGGCTTCGCCGGAGCGAAGCCGTGGACCCCATCGTGTGCCACTCACACAACTACCCATCCAGAGACATCGTAAAGCTCGGCGGATGATTTATAGTTACTCATGATAACTTGATATAACTGATATAGGCAATATAGATGCTGAAGTGCGAGACCTTTGAAGTAGCACTGAGTAAGAAGGCGCAAATTCAGCGATTCGACCGACAGCGTTTGAGTGGGGGATAGGCAACGAGCTGGCCAAGCCATCCCCGAGATGTAACGAAATATGTCGAGTCAAATTTCGAAATGCTATGGACTGTGATTTGTCGCAAGCGAATTTTTTTTTTCGCCTAATTTTCTAAGATTCAGCAAGTGAGAAGTGCGTCATCATGTTGGATCTAAATCAAGACTGCTAGTTTAGCGAAAATAATCTTTTCTTTTAACAATGCGGTTTCCAGGTAAGTGCATACATGAAACAAATGGTTACTGTCTGCCAGGGTTGACGGAGGTTCTA